AGAGCTTTGGAGATGTTCCATTCTCCAGATGGGTGGATGGCTTGGATTTTAGGTTAGAAGATAATCCAAATTGGGTGGGGGTGAGGATGGGATTGGAGGGAGGAAAGTTGAACCCATGTCCGAGAAAGGAACCATTTGCAACTTTCCTGAATCCACGTTCTAATCAGCCTTTTGTGGTTTATTTCAAACACATTTTTAAAGTTCTTAAGCTTGTATTTAAAACTTCTTTTGTAAGAAGAACATTTACCCGATGCTCTCAAAGTTGCCAATCCAAAGGTTTCTAAAACCGAAAAGCAACAAGCAATTTCCGAAAGCAATTAGAAAAAGGAAATTCATCAGCTTTCAAAGGCAGCTGGAGCCAGGAGGCTATTTCCTCCTATCCTAGAAGTATAAACTTGCTGCTCTCTTGTCGTCCCTTCACAAGGAGCAGCTGTCTGGAGCACTTGAGGGCGATCTCCAGCCCACTCCTTGTCCAGAGAGACATTGCAAAAAGCTGATCTACTCGCTAGCTCTTCATTCTTCCCCAGAAATCTGGATGGTATTTTTTTTTTATTTGTATCTTGCCTTTATTATTTTTTACAAATAATTCAAGGGGAACATACCTTACACTTTCCTCCCTCCTGAGACAGGTTGGGCTGAGAGAGACTGATTGGCCCAAAGTCACCTAGCCAGATTTTAAGGCTGGACTAGAACTCCCAGTCTCCTGGTGATGGAGACTAAAGTCAATCTTTCTTTCTGGTCTGGTGTCCTAACCACTAGACCAAACTGGTTGTTGTTAGGGTTGCAGCTCCCCTCATCCCCAGTTAAGAGCAGTTGTAGGTAAGAGAAACTAATTTGAGCTCCATCTCTGTTATGATTATACTATCCCCAGGCTAAAAGGTTTGGGGCTAAATGATCCCCACCCACCTGTCTAAAGAAATTATGATTGGCACAAAAATCGAGATGTAAAATGTCTTGCAGGTCATGTGTGTCCAGATCAAATGCTTCCACGAGATCATCACCATTGGTTACAACGTGTACCATTCTTATGAGCTGCCCTGGTTCAGGACACTGAGTTGGTAAGTTGGGAGACAGAGTTGTTTATTTTGTTTATTTGTATGTATGGTGTGGAGAAACTCACACCAAGGATAAGCCTTCTTAGCTTGTCATCCTTGGTGAAAGTTCTTTTTGGGATGACCCCCTATTTAGAAAGTGTCCCTTAATCAGGGATGGGATTGAAAAATGTTAGCAACCAGTTCTCTGCCTGGTTGCTAGGTGGGCGTGGCCACGGTGAGTGTGACCTACTCAGCCTCCTGCACCACGGCAGGGTTTTTGCCCTCCCCAGGCTCCGGAGACTTCCCTCAAGTCTCCAGGAGGGCGAAAACAGCCTCTCCCGGGCTCCGGAGGCTGGAAACAGCTACTTCCGGTAGGCCTGTTTTTCACCCTTCCCTGGGCTCTGGAGGCCGGAAACGGGCCATGTCTGGACTTCTGGGAGGCCCACTTTTCACCCTCCCAGAGCCTCTGCGCAGGCCCTGCACTTACCTGGCACAATGAAGGGGCCGCATGGGAACTCCTGGGAGGGTCCAGTGAATCCTTGCAACAACTGGTTCAGTGAACCAGATGCAAAATTAACATTTTGTTAATTGAACTAGTGTGAACTGGCTAAATCCCCCCCCCCCCTGCTCTTAATAGAGAAAATTCTTAAAGTGAGTATGGAAGGAAAACCAGAGATATATCTTTTGGGTTTAATGGAAGCCCCTCCCCCTGAGGAATTCTAACCACCCCTTGGGAAAAAGCACAAATAAGGCTCAATTTAAAAAAAGTATTTTTCAGGTACTTCCTGCTCTGTGTGAACTATTTCTTCTACGGCGAGACGGTGACAGATTATTTTTTCACTCTGGTCCAGAGGGAGGAGCCCTTACGCATTCTTAGCAAATATCACCGTTTCATTTCCTTCACCCTCTACTTAACAGGTAGGCCTTGGGATCTCTCGCTTGGGTTTATGCAGGTAGGCGACTATGTGGAGACCCAGGAAGAGTCGAGCACATCGCCAATTTGGACTCTCTCTTCCAGGGGTGTCAAACTCGATTTCATTGAGGGTCACATCAGGGTTGTGACGGATTCAGTCCACGGGCCTTGTGTTTGATGCCCCTGCTCTATACCCTGCTCCTTGTGGGTGAGCAGAGAGCAAGCGAACAGCCAGTCCCTCTTCAATCCTGTTTTCTTTCTTCTGCTGCAGGCTTTTGCATGTTCGTCTTGAGCCTGGTGAAAAAGCATTATCGTCTTCAGTTTTACATGGTAAGATTAAGTAAATGGATTCTGTGCTTTTAGAGTTTAATAGCCCACCACGGGGGCGGGGGTAGCGGGGGAAAGGATGAGAGGGAGAGAGAGATGGAAACTGACACAAAATTGGCACTCGGATACAACAACAAAACCTGTAGAGGTTTTGCCTGAGCGGAGAAACTGACAACTCCTGGGTTTATAGATATTGTGAAAGCTTCCTTGGTATCTTTGATCTTTCGTCCGTCTCAACATTCAGCTCTCATAAATATCCTTTTTTTCCTACTTTATTTACACTTCATATCTGGGCTCTGTACTCCATAGTACTTCAGTCTGTTCAACATGGACACCCAGTAAAGTAGGCTAACTAAAGAGTTACTTCAGTGGAGAGTTTGAAAATCAAATCTTCCAGTTTCTTCTCATTCTTGGCAACTCTGAGACAAGACTTCAACTCATTTCATTTTAACTTGAATGCCTTAAAATTGTCAAGTGTTGAGAAAAAATTGTCCTAGAGCAGATCAAAAACATGCAAAGTAGATTAACTTTAGCAAATAACCTCCTGGTCCTGAACTTTTTTAGACTTAGATTAATTAATCAAAAATAAATAAATGACTATCTTTAGGGCTTCAGTCTTCCATCCATAAAGTTAGGGTGCAACTGTATTGCAAAGCCGAATACAAAATTCGCAGTAACAATTCAAAAACAAGTAGGTGGTGTGGTTAGATGTAGAGTTTTGCAAGTGGGATGAGGAGAGGCGCTCAGAAGAGGTGGGAGAAAGATCATGACCCAGAGGCTCCCCTTACCTGTGTTACTCCATAATGAGGACCAATCTATAAGCCTGTCCAAGACATCCTTGAGTAAGGGGCATAGATAACTATGGGGTCACCACCGAGAAGGGCTGAAGAACTTTACCCCCATCTTTGCGATACTTAATTGTTGGGGAAAGGGATATGAATGAAGATCATCCTTCAGACAATCTGGTTTCCTACTCTCTAGGATAAGGATCTACAACCTTGGCAACTCACCCTGGAGGATTTCAACTCCCAGAATTCCACAGCCAGCTTTGCTAAGCCTGGAGAAGTCCTCCAGGCTTAGAGTTGCCAAGGTTGGAGACCCCCTGCTCTAGGACCTTTAGGATAACCTGTATGCGTTCTTACCCAAAAGATAAAGTCTGAAGGTCCTTGTTGACTGCCGCATCTTTTGTGTATTTGTGCTTATCATGTGTTGATGCCTCTTGGAGTGGTGCGGTGGCCTAGAAGTGGAGCTCTCGCCTCACAGTCAGGATGCTGTGAGTTCAATCCTAGATAGAGGCAGA